CAAATGCATGGTGGTAGTCCAGCCTAGAGGCGTGGACTTTTTCGACCACCTGCCCACCCCAGGGAGTGTCCGAAACAAGCGACCTTCGCCCACCCCTTGAACGGCGTGTTCCACAAACGAAGGGCTGGACTTTTTCGACCACCTGCCCACCCCAGGGAGTGTCCGAAACAAGCGACCTTCGCCCACCCCTTGAACGGGGTGTTCCACAAATGAAGGGCTTTGGCCTTGACACTTGCCCACCCCAAGGGATGTGCCAAAAGCATGGTGGTCGTCCAGCCCAGAGGCGTGGACTTTTTTGACCACCTGCCCACCCCAGGGAGTGTTCGAAACAAGCGACTTTCGCCCACCCCTTGAACGGGATGTTCCACAAACGAAGGGCTTTGGTCTTGACACTTGCCCACCCCAAGGGATGTGCCAAAAGCATGGTGGTCGTCCAGCCCAGAGGCGCGGACTTTTTCGACCACCTGCCCACCCCAGGGAGTGTTCGAAACAAGCGACCTTCACCCACCCCTTGAACGGGATGTTCCACAAACGAAGGGCTTTGGTCTTGACACTTGCCCACCCCAAGGGATGTGCCAAAAGCACGGTGGTCGTCCAACCCAGAGGCGTGGAGTTTTTCGACCACCTGCCCACCCCAGGGAGTGTTCGAAACAAGCGACCTTCGCCCACCCCTTGAACGAGATGTTCCACAAACGAAGGGCTTTGGTCTTGACACTTGCCCACCCCAAGGGATGTGCCAAAAGCATGGTGGTCGTCCAGCCCAGAGGCGCAGACTTTTTCGACCACCTGCCCACCCCAGGGAGTGTTCGAAACAAACGACCTTCGCCCACCCCTTGAACGGGATGTTCCACAAACGAAGGGCTTTGGTCTTACTTGCCCACCCCAAGGGATGTGCCAAAAGCATGGTGGTCGTCCTGCCCAGAGGCGTGGACTTTTTCGAACACCTGCCCACCCCAGGGAGTGTTCGAAACAAGCGACCTTCGCCCACCCCTTGAACGGGGTGTTCCACAAAGAAGGGCTTTGGTCTTGACACTTGCCCACCCCAAGGGATGTGCCAAAAGCATGGTGTTCGTCCAGCCCAGAGGCGCGGACTTTTTCGACCACCTGCCCACCCCAGGGAGTGTTCGAAACAAGCGACCTTCGCCCACCCCTTTAACGGGATGTTCCACAAACGAAGGGCTTTGGTCTTGACACTTGCCCACCCCAAGGGATGTGCTAAAAGCATGGTGGTCGTCCAGCCCAGAGGCGTGGACTTTTTCGACCACCTGCCCACCCCAGGGAGTGTTCGAAACAAGTGACCTTCGCCCACCCCTTGAACGGGTTGTTCCACAAACGAAGGGCTTTGCTCTATTCCCTCGAGCAAGACACGCTCCAAACGTCGCCCTCCATTCATGCACACCATAATAAGAATACAACCAAATTTTCCATAAGCCACTTTAGTACAAATCATGTGTAATGAAAATATACTAGAAATTCACAAATTATTCAACTTTTCCCAGATAATTAATATCCACACCATAAGCCATAGATAAGATCTAATGAAGGCGCATATTATTGTAGGATGAATCCCGTTGAACAAGTGTTTGGTCATTTCAATAATCCCGAAGGAAGTTTTGGCTTGTAAATACATTTGTCTCGATCATTTTGCTCAAACATAAAAAGAAGAAAATTTTAAACATAATATTTCTTGAGGTTGGCAACATTCCATGATCAATGATCTTCCTTCCGCATCTTTCAAGGAGTATGCTCCTCCCGCATGAACCTTCTCGACCAGGTATGGTCCTTCCTAGTTGGGCTCCAATTTGCCCACAATACATCAACTCTTTTCCAGACCAGATCGCCCACTTGGAATCTACGGATTTTCACTTTCCTATCATGGGCTGCTCTCATCCACTGTTTGTATATCTCCACTCTGGTCGAGGCTTGTTCTCTGAGTTCCTCGATCGTATCCAAGGCAGTCAACATGGGCTCCTCATTCTGCTCCTGGTTGTACGTGCTCGATCGCTGGGATTGCAATTCCAGTTCGACTGGTAAAAGTGCCTCCATTCCATATACTAGGCTGAAGAGTGTCTCTCATGTGGTCGACCTCAGAGTAGTCCTGTATGCCCAGAGCACAGATGTTAGCTCGTCAACCCACGCCCCCGAGGCTTTCTCTAGTCTTGTTTTCAGCCCATTTAGGATGATCCTATTGGTCATCTCCACCTGTCCATTGGCCTGCGGGTGGGCGACAGAGGCGAAATGATGTTCAATCCCTATCTCCTTGCACCACGCCCTAACCCGCTTGCCGTTGAATTGGGTTCCATTGTCAGATATCAAGACTTTGGGCACCCCGAATTGACAGCAAATGCTGTTGTATAAAAATTGGATTGCATTCTCCTCTGTGATCTTGGCCAACGGCTTGGCCTCCACCCACTTTGTAAAGTAATCAACCACAACAATCAGAAATTTCCGCTACCCCGTGGCCTGCGGCATCGGCCCTACCAGGTCGATCCCCCACTGCGCGAATGGGATTGGTGCGCTCATTGTGGTCATTGTTTCCACTGGATGGTGGATGAGTGGGCCGTGTTTCTGACATTGTAAGCATTTCTTCACTATCTCCTTAGCGTCCACTCTCATAGTCGGCCAAAACTATCCTGCTCTAAAATCTTAGCGACTAAAGCACCCGCTTTGCTGTGGTCCCCACAATACCCCTCGTGCACTTCTTTCAGGACATATCGACCTTTTTCCTTGGTTACACATCTCAGGTGAGGACCCGCATATGATCGTTTTTAGAGGATTCCCCGATGCTCGAAAAATTTCCGCCATACCTTTATCGTCCCTCCTTGTAATTCTTTCAAAATCGAGGACCTCCAATCCTCTATTTCTTCAATCTCTTCTACTTCGGTTTCGACCGTGCTCCTCTCTATATGGAGTAAAGTTACGCTTCGGATTTTGCAATCTACCAGATTCTGGGCGATCTTTGATAACAAGTCGGCTCGATCATTTTCTCCTCGTGGAATCTGCACCAACTCAAATGACCCGAATTCTTCTTTCAGCCTCTTCATATCGTTTACATAACGCTGCAGCCTGTCCTCCTTGATCTCGAAACCCTCTTGGAACTGTCCGACCACCAACTGGGAATCAGAGTGGACCTGAATTTTTCGAGCACCTCCGGCCAGGGCTAGCTGCAGCCCCTTTATCACTGCTTCGTATTCTGCCTCATTGTTTGATACTCGAAACCCCATTTTAACAGCAATCTCCAAGTAATCTCCCTTGGGCAAAACCAAGACTATGCCCAAGCCCGCTCCACTTCTCGAAACTGAGCCATCTGTAAACAATTGCCACACTCCCTCCATTTGCTCCTCCTCCTTCGTACCCTCCTGAATGAAATCGGACAGGACTTGCGCTTTGGTCGCCCTCCTTGGCTCATACAGGATAGAGTATTCTCTTAGCTCGACCGCCCACTTCACTAGCCGACCAGATACTGCTGGTCGGCCTAAAGTCTGCTCCAGAGGCATGTTCGTCTGCACCTTGACTCTATGATTTAGGAAATATAGTCTTAACTTTCGAACCGTCATGACCACCGCCAATGCACATTTCTCAATCTCCGAATACCTCAGCTCTGCTTCCTGCATTACTCGACTGACATAGTATATTGGGAACTGTGCTACCCCCTCCTCGCGCAACAATACCGAGCTTACCGCACTCTCGCCCACCGATATGTAGAGCACGAGCTCCTCTCCATGTACAAGCTTAGCTAGCAGGGGCAAGTTTGCCAGCACCTCTCGCAACTCCTCGAAAGCTTTCTGGGCCTCCTCCGTCCACTGGAATCTCGAGCTCCTCTTCAATGTTTTGAACAGAGGACCACTCTTCTCAGCCACTTTAGAGATGAATCTGCTTAACCCTGCTATTCGACTAGTCAGTATTTGAACCTCCTTCACACTGGCAGGTGGCTTCATCTCGATCACTGCTCTCACCTTCTCCGGGTTCACCTATATTCCCCTCTTCGTCACCATGTATCCTAAGAATTTTCCCGCCTTCACACCAAATGACCACTTGGCTGGATTAAGCTTCATGCCATACCTTCTCAGCGTTTGGAAAGTCTCCCTTAAGTCGCCCACATGATCCGCCTCCATCTTGCTCTTCACCAGCATGTCATCGACATATACCTCCATATTTCTTCCCAATTGGTCTTTGAAAATCTGGTCGACCAGCCTTTGGTAAGTGGACCCGGCGTTCTTCAACCCAAATGGCAGAACCACATAACAATAGGTGCCTTTGCTTGTTATGAACCTCACCCTCTTCCAATCTTCCTTTGCCAAGGGGATTTGATGGTACCCTTGCGAAGCATCCATCAGGCTAAGCAGTTCGCATCCCGCTGTGGAATCTACCAGCTGGTCGACCCGTGGCAGTGGGTATAGGTCCTTCGGGCAGGCTTTATTCAGGTCGCGGAAATCGATGCACATCCTCCACTTCCCCCCCGATTTGGACACCATCACTGTGTTAGAAAACCATTCTGGAAACTGGATCCTCTTGATATTCCCAACGTTTAACAACTTTTCGACTTCTTGCTCTATTATTTTGTCCATTTCCACGCCGTGGTGTCTCCTCTTCTGCTTCACTGGCCTCACACTGAGGTCAATATTCAGCCTATGCTCGATCACCCTGGCCTCAATCCCCATTAGTTCCTCCACCGTAAACGCGAAGACGTCCGCGAACTCCCTTATCAAACCGACCAACCTCGACCTGATCGGCTCTCCCATATCTTTTCCAATCCTAAACTTTCGATCATCACTCTCCTGCACCATCTGAATTTCCTCGACCTCACCACTAGGCTGTATGTCTATCTTCTCTTTTTCCTTGTCTTGCCATCCCTTCTCCTCCTTTGACCTCAGCCCTCCTGGTCCATCAGGCCTCTCTTCCTTACCTTTCAACTGCTTTTTCGACATCTACTTGTTGTTACTGACTGTGGTTTGGTAAAAACTCCTCGAGGTGAGCTGGTATCCAGTGATCTCGCCCACATTTTCACCCACATGATATTTGATCGTCATGTGGTATGTAGAAACGACTGCCTGGAACGGATTCAACCCTGTCCGTCCCAAGATGACATTAAACGACGACTCTGCACCGACCACTATAAAGTGCACCATCCTTACCTTCCTAGTATCGCCCGACCCCAACGCCACATTTAGACTTACCTCGCCCATTGGCATCACCTCTCCTCCATTGAAACCATACAAGGCCGTCACTACCGACTTCAATTCCAAATTCAAATTCTTGTTGATTTGGGCAAAGCAGTCATAAAACATCACATCGACCGAGCTCCCAGTGTTGATAAACACTCTCTTCACGTCGAAACCCGCTACTTCTGTCGTGATGACCAGCGCGTCATTATGGGGCAGCAAAACCCCCTCCGCATCTTCTGCTCGAAAGCTGATCACCGACATTCGACCAGTTATCCCGACCTCCTCCCTCTTGCGTTTCACTGCTCGCACATGCCCCTTTCGTGCATTGTTCGAATCCCCGTCGGTTGGTCCTCCCGAAATCATATAAATAGTGCCTCTCTTTGCTGGGGCTTCTCCTCCTTGCCCTTCTCGACCATCATTAGCACGCCTCCTCTTCTCATCTTCACCCCATCGACCACCCTTTTCTCCTCGAGCCTCATCCTCTCCATCATCTTCTCCGTCGCTTCTCGCCACTGAGCCCTCTTTGCACCTCCTCTTCTCCCTACCGCGTGGTCGGTCGCGGATAACGAATTCTTTCAAGTGCCCCGCTCGTATGAGACGCTCGATTTCGTCCTTCATATGTCTAAAACCCTCTGTGGTCTGCCCATAATCTCGATGAAACCTGCAATATTTGCTCGATTTGGGTCGTGTTGGTCCCTCAAACCTTGTCGCCAGCCACGTGACCTCCTTGTCCCCCAATTTATCCTCGATCGCCACCAAAACCTCCCCTACCTTTGCATTTATCGGTGTGAACATGTTGTACCTCTTGCCATTCGCCAAGAGAGGTCACCCTTCCCATCGATCCTCTCGTCCAGCACGCCATGGGCCCCGCTTATCTTTCTTGGGCGAAAACCTCCTAGATGGGCCCTTCTTTAGAGAATTCCTCCGGGGCCACTCCCTCCTGGGCGAATCCAGCCTCTCCTTCCTCGGTGCGAGCTTTGCCACCTCCTCGAGCTTAGCAAACTCGGCCTCCGTCTCCTCCAGATTGATGTATTTCTTGCACCTCGCACTTCATCGTAAGTTCGAGCAGACGTCTTTGCTAACAACGTTCGGCACGACCCTGGTCGCAGGCTTCTAATCAAACCTCCCGCTTTCACTTCATCGACCGCCGTAGGCACTTCAAGACACATCTGGTTATATCGGGCCACATATTTTTGCAAAGATTCTTTCTCGCCCTGCCGCATCGCCATTAGAGTGAGATGTCTTTTCCTGGGCGACCGCACTCGAATACTGGTTGGTGAGTTGTCCCGCAAAATCCTCAAAATCTCTAATCGAACCGGGGGCTAGTTGGTGGAACCAGTCGAGTGCACCTCCTCGTAAGGTCGACAAGAACGCCCTGCAGCTGACCGGGTCTGAGTATCCGTGCAATACGGACATATTTTCAAACGCCCTCACATGCCTCGACAGATCGCTCGACCCATCGAAAGTCAGATTTATCTCCCTGAAACTTTCGGGCAGCAGTGCAACTAGAATTTCCCTCGAGAACAGGTGACCTCGAGTACGTCTGTCCGGCCTCCCCTCCACTTTCTCTTGCAGTTGTCGGAGTTGTTCAGCCATCCTCTCCATCACTCTATCCCTGGGATCTCCTCCTCCACCATAGCTCGACACATCTTCCTCCTGAGTTCCTGCCACCGTGGTCGGCGTGGCAGTGCCTGGGACGTTTGGTGGGTGACCTGCTGCACAGCTTGCGCCGCTGCATTGGCCATCATTCGCTGCATCTCTTCTCTCGTCATCGTCACCATTTGCTGAGTAGGAAGCGTCACAGCTCTTTCTTGCTGGCCTCCGGTGGGTGGCAACATCGCTTGCGCTCCTGCTCCTCCTTGTTGCGCCACTCCTGGATTTGTCTGCGATGGCGCAAGGACCGCCACCGGTGTCGAGCCTCGAGCCTCCTGATCTCTGCTCGTGCCCTCTCCTCCACCAGGTATCGCCGCACTTTGGGGGCCGGTGTTGAGGTCACCGGAGTTCGTAGTGGTGCGGAGAAGCCGGGGGGAGGACCCATTCCCATTGGTCTATCCGTCGTCCACGCTTCATCGAACGACGACTGCAAATTCACTCGAGGAATTCCGTCCGCCATAGCTGAGCTTCAAACACAACTTTTCGAACAGAAGTCCCCACAGACGGTGCCAATAATACAAGTCTCGCACCCTGACCGGCTGGAAACCGCCTCAAGCTCGTTCTCCTTGCCGGTTGAACGCGAAACCTGCACGAAACTCCCATACCGGAGGTGTTTTCCGGTGAAGAGCCTCCAACGCTCAAGTCAGATCTTGAGAGATAATATATGTGTATGTGAATATGTAAGAGTATGAGAGATTGTATCGAAAAGTGAGGATTCTCGTCCCTATTTATAGGGACGAGCTACATGTTCTACACGCGCGGGTAGGGCGAGTTTGGCCAGCCGCCCTCTGCTCGTCCGTACAACCGCGCGCCTCCATTATCCCTGAGTCAGAGGACGCGTCGATCCTGTCATAGAATGTCAGAGTTTGTTACTGCCTGGGCCACTCATAGAATGCAGCGTGTTCTCCTTTCACGTGCTGGAGATTCTCTTGTGTATTCTGCATCTCGACCAAGTCTGTACGACCACACCTTATCCAACCATCTTTCCTCGACCAACTCCTCGAGTAGCCGGTGCCTGTCGATCACTTCTGCTCGTCTTCGCTGTCTACTCTCTGTCCTTCGTTGCAGGTGCCTGGCCCAGTTCGACCATACCATTTGACCCGTCTTATTTAGCTAACCCGACTAACCAGTCTATTTTATCCGGTTAGCCCAACAAACCGATCTAGTATATAGTATCCCAAATCAAATATATTTTCTTAATTAATATATCATATATAATTTAGAATATATTTACTGAACTGTTATATTATTTATAATTTATAATTTATTTATTTAATTATTATATTATTTATAATTTAGGATATATTTACTTAACTATTACATTATTTATAATTTATAATTTATATACTTAAATATATTATTTATAATTTAAATCTATATATTTGATTATTACGTTTGAGTAAGTAGATTCCTTTTTTTTTTTAATTTAGATATACTTAATTATTATATTATTTATCATTTAGAATCTAATTACTCAATTATTATAAAATCTATATACTAAATTATTATAAAATTTAGAATATATTTATTAAATCAATAAAAAATCCATTTATTTAATTATTATATTATTAAATATAGAATATATTTTCTTAATTAATATATCATTTATAATTTAGAATATATTTACTGAATTGTTATATTCTTTATAATTTAGAATTTATTTAATCATTATATCATTTATAATTTAGGATATATTCACCTAATTATTATATTATTAATTTCTACATACTTAATTATTATATTATGTGTACTTTAAATCTATATAGTTAATTATTACATTTAGAATGTACATACTTAATTATTATATTATTTATAATTTAGAATATATATACTTAACTATTATGATATTTCCATTATACGTTATGATATAAAAATAGTTAGAATCACATTTATAACTAAATACCTAGTAGCCTAGTTGGTGGGATATGCTTTTTATAACTCAAAGGTTGTGGGTTCAATCCCCACCATGGGGATTTTAATTTTAAGTCCACATACTAATAGCAAGGGTATAATGGTTAATTCGTTGATAAAGTAAGGGTATAATAGTAAATCAACAAAAAAGTAATGCATTCAGTATTAAAGTAACGACGTTAACATAAAATGACGAGTGTGCATGTAAACATTAAATACAAGAGGGTTTGATGCAAAATTTGAAATACCAAGGGAAAACAAGTAGATTTCATATAATACAAGGTGATTTGGTGCAATAAACCCTTTTGGTCGTTCCTGTTGCAACTTAATCAATTTTAATATTTAATACTCGTTGGTCAATAAAATTTCTAGTGAGTTAGAATTAAACTGCTTTGATTTCGCTTCTCTTTCGAACCCACAAATTTCGTTCTAACCCTACTCCCGTGTCGATCTAATTCTCCATCTCTCAGCCTTCCTCAGCTGCAGCGGACTCGGGTCTGTGGTCGTCTCCAATTGCTCGACTCATCCCGGATGCCTTTTCATCTTCGGCGCTTCTGACGTCGGATGATTTGTCGCGATCTCCCACTCCTGACTCCACCCTTTAAGGCGAGGGTTTGTGGGCTGGTCGCCGAATCTGAGGTCTGCGGGGGTGGCGGGAGCGACGTGGGTCTGTGGATGGGTCGGGCCCCTGGTAGCTGCGATGTTTCGTTGCGGTGGTCAGTGCGAGGAACTGCCGTTTCACCTCTCCTTCAATAAGATCGAATTCAGTTTCTTGGGTCGCCTTTTGAGGTATATTCCGTCCATTGGCTGTGTGGGTTGTCGATTAAGGTTGCTGTGACTCTTTAGGTAGGCTTCGGCTCGCCGTTGGTTTCGAGCCTGGTCACCGACGAGTTGTGGTTGTTGCGGGCGGGGTCGTGTTGCTCTGGGTGGGCGTTGCTCTAGGGGCTGAGGTTCGTCTTGGTTGGAGAGGTCGGTGTTGTGGAGCCGGGCTACCCCCACCCTTCTCTGTTCGGCTAGTGGTGTTAGGCGACAGGAGAGTGGTTCTTCTCGAACTCGACTAGTGGTGTTAGTTGGGCTTGGTTGGGCCTGGGGTGTGGGCTGGCTCCGTCTTGTTTCTGCGGTTGGTGTCGGGTCGTTTTCGGAGATTAGATGGTGTTGGGTTCGACTTTTGCATAGGCCTTAGGGCAGTTTCGAAAGTGGCACCTGGGACTTGGCTTATTCTTCGTAAACGATTCTTCTCTGCTGGCTTGATCTGCTTGATTTGCTGCGGAAGGGCCCATTTTTCTCCTTGTTTCTTGTGTCAGTTTGAGTCTGTGTTAGGTTGTGTTTTGAGTCTGTGTTTTTGGTTTGGGCTATTTGGCCTCAGTGCTTGTTGTTCTCATTACTCCGTTGGGGGTTGTGTCATTACTCTGTTGGGGGTCTTTGCGTGTTAGGGTCTTTGTTTTGTGTTGTTTTGTTTTGGTGGTGCTTTGGTCTCATAGCTTTGCCTATGCCTTTAGTGCCTTGTTGTTGTTTGGTCTAGGCCACCTTGTAGGAGTGGTCCTCCATTTGTGTTTGTAAGGACTAGTGAGTCCTCCGATTGTACCTTTATTTTGTGCTATGAGATATCTATCGTTTGAAAAAAAAGAATTAAACTGCTTTGAACTTAAAATTTTATATATTTATACTTTTTGCCGGCTCCAAAAAATAGCAGTCTAAAATGTGTCTAACTTTATCCATATGTTTGGCCAACTCAAAGAGTACAAATACATACATTTGACAACATTTCTAAAAAGTAGATTGAAATTAAAATGTCCAACAATCATAGAAAACGTAAAAAGAAAGGATTTAGTTCATTAATTAAATCGTAGAAGTTGTGTTTAAAAGCAAGAGATTATCATTCACCTAATAACCTACCAATTATAGCAACATAAACGTTGACTAAATTTAAAGTTCCCACCACTATCACAACAGAGATGAATAGAAATCTTACCAGACCTATTGATGAAGAAGAAATCCATGGTGCAATTTTTAGCCTTGCACCAGAAAAGGCCCCT